GCAAAGCTAAGTCCATGCTCAAGGCCATGTACTATCTTGTAGACGAGGAAAAGATCATCTCTTTGCTGCCTGTAACACAGAGGGAATAAATTAAGGCAATTCAGTCTGTCTATATATTATTGGCTTTTTAGACCGTTTACCAGCTTTGTTGAACGCGTTGTACCCGTTCGAGGCATGCTTGATCCTTTACTAGTCATGTCCACCATGCTTATAGGCCATATTCTAAGTGGGGTCGAACAAAGGTGCCGTAAACCGTTTCAAAAACGGTCTTGGTCAAAGGTAACCATCGCCCTCTTGATTGCATGCAGCACTCCCATGGCGTTTTTTGCAGCCTTGTGGCACTGCAGTGTTGGTTTCAGGTTGTTCTGTATCCAAACCCTGAGATCCTTTTGTGAAGATTCTACGGGGAGTTTTATATCTTTCAGGTGACATGTCCTCAGGCTCTCATTTGTATGAGAGTTAGTCGGACGCAGATGAAGGCCGGCACACGTCTTCGCATTTAAATTTAGAAGTCATTTCTCCTACCACACTTGCAGTCGCTGCAGATTTTTTTGGAGGTTCTCTGGTCGTAAGGGCTCTTAATGACTTGTCAGGGGTTAACGTCGTCGGAAAACATGATTTTGCCGAAGTCGCGTTCATGCAGGCTGTCATTAACGTAAATGATGAAGAGCAATGATCCCAGGGCGGAGCCCTGAGGCACACCGCTGGTCACGTTCACCCATTCTCACATATCATCTTGGATACAGACACGTTGTTCCCGACCAACCAGAAACGCCCTTATCCAGTTCAGAAGATCTCCCTGGATTCCGATGGCGCTCAGTTTGTTAAGGCGTTGGTACGGAATAGTATCGAATGCTTCGCGGAAGTCGATGCACACGACATCGACCTCAAAATACTCTTCTAGAGCCCTGCTCCAGATCTCCAGACAAGCTAGCAGATTTGAGATGCAGGAACGTCCTCTCGAGAAGCCATTTTGAAAATCCTGCAAGATGTTATTTTCTTCACGAAATTGCTGTATAGCGCTCTTTAGTAGAGCTTCCAACGTTTTGCATGGGAGGCAAGTTAAGCTAAGAGGCCTGAAGCTGCTTGTTACCATCCTGCTACCTCCCCTATATAAAGGAACGAGGTAAGCTGTCTTCTACTGTGATGGCAGCCTTTCTGTTCTCATTGCATTTCAAAGGGAGTCGAAAGAGGCTTTGCCAGCTCCGCTGATAGCTCCCGAGGTATCAGCCCAGGAATTCCGTCGGGTTCAGAAGACATATCTGGTCTTATTTGACTGAGGACGGATCACATTTCTTCGACGAAAAAGGCAATGGTTGTAATGACGGCAGAATTTTAGCGCATTTGAAGCCCCGGCTGTCTCGGTCCATTTTAAACTGCTGATTGCTTTCAGAGGACTCCTCCGTAAAAACCGATTGAAAAAACTACGACTGTAATTGCATTTTTTTGTGACGCTTAAACTAATAAATTTCCGAGGCTATCCTTTAGACACGTAATTTCGTTCCTCTGTATTCTCCTTCTGCGGATGTACCTGTAAGACTTCTTGGGACATGTAATGGATTCTGCTATCATTCGGCGCTCCAAAGCAGTTCTAGCAACCCGTATTTGTTTGCGGCATTTATTGCACTGATCCTTATATTCGGCGAATGACATTGGATCTCAAAGATGCAAATACTTTTTCCACAGCCTCTGTTTCTTCCTGGTTTCTTTTGTTGTCGGATTGACCCACGGCGGTCGCGCACATGCCTCGTTGATTTTATTGGACAATGGAATCACTTAGACGCTCTATAATCCCGCGAAAGAACTGCCGGTATTCTTCTGAATCTTCCATGTTGAATAACGAGGTTTCCTTCAAAAGAGCACGTCACATTGCCCTAAAGTCACCCTTCCAAATATTTCTGCACCTCTTGATTTCTGGTTGTTGGTTCGATAGGAGAGAGCACATGCAGGTAAAAACAATATGATCGCTAAAACCGAGTGGAGGTTTTGGATTCACTTCTCTTATGACTCGTTCTTCATTATTGAAAACGAGATCTAGACACTTAGATCGTTGTCCTTCTCTCAGTCTTGTTCCAAATTTTATGTGTTGAATGACGTATTCATTGAGAGTTGTAGTCGCTTGTGGTCAAATGACGTCGACGGGGCGTTTTTTAAGGGAATTTTCAAGTCAATTCCCGGCGCATTAAACTTGCCCAGAAGTGGTAAGTTCTCCTGTTTACATAACAATTCCAATGCACTATGTAATTCCATATTGTCGATTTCATTCCAGCTGGGAGGCCGATAAACAACACAAAGGTTGCGTGTCGGTAATTGTTTGATACATATTTTGCATGAAATTATTTCAAAATTTCGTGGCTCCCCATCGGATATTTCTCGCTGACAGCACAAAATTTCATTTGACACATAAATTGTCCAGTCTATTCCTCTACGGTGTCTTGGCATTTTCTTCTAAATTGTAACGTATTACATATAATCGCTACTCACCCAGTGTAGGATTTTAAGGGCCTGTTGGTAAATGTCAACAAAACCGAACAAAATTAATTAACAGGGAGCTAGCCCTATTTAGTCGGTCATTTTAACTTTGGATAGCTGACAGCAATTACGGAAATTCTCTCGAGACGCACGAACAATAAACACCACAATTTCGAAAGGCATAAAAGAAAACCCGTGGGGTTTAATAACCCAGGAGATGAGGGCGAAGTTGGAATTAGGAACAGTCGTTTGAGGACCAAAAGAGCCCTTCCAAGCAGTCAATTCTTAGTGGCTTGAGTCTCTTGTATTTTTAAAATGCAAATAAGGACCGGTATACGGAATCGGAAAAAACCTATCTTTATATGCAAAACTGGCTGACGAAGGAAACTAAACCAGAAGTGTCCGTTCTAGTCGCCTTATCTTTGCCGACGAATTTATCTGGCAAAGTATGTTATCTCGACCATGGGTAAATGAGAAGAAACATAAACTTCGTCATTTGCTCTTAAAAAAATACTGAATTATTTCTTGCAGTTGATTTGCTAATTTACAAATTATTTCCCCCATGATTTCATCCGCTATTTGCGTTATTTCAATTTACGCCTTCTCAGCATATGTCCGAGTTATCGAGCTTAAATCATACAAGGTCATTACGATCAGATAAGATTTCAAAAGAATGCTAGGAGGGCCTCGAACCAAACTACCGACTTACGATCTTTTCTCGATGCAAGCGAAATTATTCTTAGCCCCTCAAAGAAGTAAGAACTGGTTAGGGGGCAGCAATGAATCTAAGCGAACTAAATAATACCAGTCCATGTTCCAACTTTTTTACTAAATACCAGTCAACTTAGGTGATATCAACTGCGAATTAAAAAACACAGCTTTTAAGGTCCGAATCATCCCTTTCGCACGAAAAACAGCCTACGATAACGATGCCCAGCATATATTTATCAGAAAACCTCTTTATATCAAACATCACCACATGACTCGTGTAAAGAATAAAAGCAGGCGGTGTAGGTAATAAATCTTTTCGTTTCGTGTGCATTCATATACGTTTCTGTTTTTCTACAGAGGACAACAGAGTGTTAGCGCAGGAGACTACCGGCAGCGTTCCACACTTCGAGGTTGAGTATGAATGGCTGACGACGGCTAATGAGCCAGAAAGGGCCATTCCAGTCTCCCTAGTCTTTGTCGGAAATGCCATTCTGCCTATATCATGCGCCGCGGTGCGGCTGCTGGGTGGGCTCCAGAGAGGGCCCTTAAGGCACAACGGGACGAGTGAGTTCCATATGTGTGATCGGTGAGCATCCCCTACCATTGTGTGGAGTTTGTTGAAAGAGCGCACCTCGTGTAAACATGGGAGGCATATTTTTGCGTCCTTTGTAGGTGGCCTCAAGTTGTGGAGGCGTAATTGGGATAAGAAAGTCATCGAGACGGCCTACAAGAACAAAACAAGGAAAAAGGCGTGTGTGAAATAGGGAAATGGCAGTCGGCAACTGGTAGTGCCTGATGCAGAGAGTCAATTCTATTAGGCGAGGGAATAGTTCAACCCGTTACAATGTTGTCTCAACGCAAATGCTTTATATACTTGAGAGAAACAGTTGTCTCTTGGGCGTGGAAACAGGATAGTATAACTTCACGTGCGGAGGGCTCCTAATCAACAACATCACTGGGAAAATATAAAAACAAAAACTGCAGGCAAAGTTAAGAGAAGCCGACCAGTCGACCTGCGCACTTAAGCGAAAAGCCGCTACAAATGATATGAGAAGAAATCTTAAACGTTGAAGTCACAGTTGATGCATGGACTGTTTATAAAAGAAAAACCATCGGGGAAACGCAATGCACAATAGATGGGACGGACTGTCCAGTAATGAACTTTTGCTTCACGCGCTTGATTCACAGTACATAAGGCAATGACGCCCGCAAAGTTGTGCTATCTTGTATCCGGGCCTAAGAAATGACTTTTTCTTTGCTCTGAAGCAACATTGTCACGAGGTTGAACTCCTCCCTCGTCTAACGGACTCGACTCACTATATCACACGTTAGTGGTTGGTAAATGTCATGTTCCTGAAAAACACTAAACACTGAACATAAATCATTAATTGGCGTGACATTATATGCTGCTATAAGGTCAGGAGGCCCCGAAGGCTTAGCTCGGGTTAAGGTCAGGCACAGAGACAAACTAGTAAAAAAGCGCCATAGTGAATTGACGTAGGAATTCTGGTTTGTGAAAAAAGCTAAGGAGGAACCAACAAAGAGGTGTGACTACGAATTTCGTTCGATCAACGCGAGATCGTGGTGGTTGAGGGCAGCAATGGAAATCAGTGGGGGAGTTTACGAAATTGCAAGGTAGGTTTGGCCTGTCCGCGTCGCGGTGAACTTCGCTGCCTTGTATGCTCACGTGTCCGAGGAGCCAAATGTGTTACTGAATGTTCGTTGACAATGGGGAAAGTTTAAGCGGGCGCGACAGGTATATGTCCAGTAAGTAATTATGTTAACGGGGTGTAGGGGTGTCAGCGTGGGTTCACGTAATGGTCGTGGTGGTCGCTCACTTGCTTGCAAATGAGACTGCGCCTAGCGTCCACTTGCTGGCACTCAACTCTCACCTGTGGCTCCACGTAGCTGGGCTCTGCTCAGCGGCCACACCCCGGGCAACAGTCTCGACCGGCGGGCTAAACCAGGTGAGGGGGCCCTGTGCGCTGTGCCGTGTGCACAGGGTTTGCGGATTCCGCTGGATGGAAGGTCGGATGGAACCTTGCGTCGGCACCGTCATGACGTGGTTCGTCTCTGCACGTCGCTTGACAGCCGGTGACGGGATGGATCTCCATATGGACATCGCCTTGACGCGCCCACCCTCGCCGACGGAGACCGCGGCTTACGGCGAATTCGAGTCGCTCTCCACTACAACCCGAAGTCGTGGTCCCATAGTGGGGTTCGGCCGTGCCACAACGGCACATGGCAGCCCTATTCAGGGATGGCACTGCCAGCCCCCACGAGGGGAAGGGCCTAGAAAAGGTGGCCTAAACATTGCTGGGTAGCACGCCGTCTCCAGGCTAGCCAGGGCCGCAGACGTCTAAACATGGTCGAAACAATCAAAATCGAAACAACAACAATATCAATAACAACAACAACCATACTCATTCTCCTCATCCTACCTCTTCTTCCTCTACCTCCGTCTATTCTTCTGCCTATTCTTCTCCTTCGTCATCTTCTCCTCCATCTCCTTCCCGTCGCCCCACTCGTTGTCACCAGACTGGCAGGGGGAGCGCGCTCACTCTGGCAGCCCAGAATGTTCGTTCCCTTCTAGACAATCCGAGGAGCAACCGACCGGAGCGGAGGACGGCGCGAGTGGCACGAGAACTGGCGCGCTACAAGGTGGACATCGCCGCACTCAGCGAGACCCGTTTCTCCGAACAAGGCCAACTGGAGGAGGTGGGTGCTGGCTACACCTTCTTCTGGAGCGGTCGACCCAGGGCAGAGCGACGGGACGCGGGCGTCGCCTTCGCCATTCGGAATGACATCGTGTGACGACTGCCCTGTTTGCCGCAGGGCATCAACGATCGCCTGATGAGCCTCCGCCTGCCTCTCCGGGGAGGCAAATTCGCCACAATCATCAGCGCCTACGCTCCGACGATGACCAACCCCGACGCCGTCGGAGACAAATTCTACGAGGACCTGCACGCCCTCTTGGCGACTGTGTCGAAGGCGGACAAGTTGATTGTCCTTGGCGACTTCAACGCCCGCGTCGGCACAGACCATACTGCCTGGAGAGGAGTGCTGGGTCCCCACGGTATCCGCGGCTCAAAGGACAATGGTCTGCTGCTTCTCCGCACCTGCGCAGAACACCGCCTCATGCTGACGAACACGTTCTTCTGTCTGCCGGAGCGACAGAAGGCCACCTGGAGGCATCCTCGGTCGCGTCAGTGGCACCTGCTGGACTATGTCCTCGTCCGGAGGCGAGATCAGCGGGACGTACTGGTGACGAAGGCGATCGCGGGTGCTGACGGGTGGACCGACCATCGCCTCGTCATCTGGAAGATGCGTATTCGCCTACAGCCTCGCAGGAGACCACAAGGTAAGCGACCCCCAGGTAAGCTGAATGTTGCTTTGTTGTCTTTGCCTGCTCACTGTCTCCATTTCAGCAATGAGCTAGCTCAATGTCTAGACAACCTTCCTATCGCTGCCGCCGACGACGCCGCCGCTGCCGAGAACGTCTCCGTGGAGACCCGCTGGTGTCAACTACGAGACACGGTCCAGTCGACGGCGCTCGCCGTCCTCGGTTGCGCTCCGCGCCAACACCAGAACTGGTTCGACGACAACGACGCCGCCATCAGAAATCTGCTAGCTGAGAAGAACCGCCTACACAAAGCCTACGTAGATCACCCCACTGATGCCACCAAAGCTGCCTTCTACCGCAGTCGCCGCCAACTTCAGCAACGACTGCGCGAGATGCAGGACGCCTGGACTGCTCGCAAAGCTGAGGAGATCCAAGGCTACGCGGACCGCAACGAATGGAAGAACTCTTCTCTGCGATTAAAGCTGTCTACGGTCCGCCGACGAAGGGCACCGCTCCTCTCCTCAGCGCCGACGGCAACACTCTCCTGACTGAGAAGACGCAAATCCTGCAGCGATGGGCCGAGCATTTTCGAGGCGTCCTCAACCGCCCCTCCGTCATCTCCGACGCCGCCATCGAGCGTTTGCCGCAAGTGGAGACCAACGTGGACCTCGAACTCCCGCCATCTCTCCAGGAGACCATCAGGGCCGTGCAGCAGCTCTCCAGCGGGAAAGCACCCGGATCGGACGCAATCCCTGCTGAGGTCTACAAGCACGGAGGTCCCCAACTAATGGATCAGCTGACTGCGCTCTTCCAAGAGATGTGGCGTCAGGGCGAAGTCCCGCAAGATTTCAAAGACGCAACCATCGTGCATCTCTACAAGCGCAAAGGGAATCGCCAAGTCTGCGACAATCACCGCGGCATCTCCCTGCTGAACATCGCCGTGAAGATCTTCGCACGAATCCTCCTCAACCGCCTCAATAACCACCTGGAACAGGGCCTTCTGCCGGAAAGCCAATGCGGCTTCCGTCGTCATCGTGGAACCACGGATATGATCTTCGCCGCCCGCCAACTTCAGGAGAAGTGTCAGGAGATGCGGACCCACCTGTACTCTACATTCGTGGACCTGACGAAAGCCTTCGACACGGTGAATCGTGAAGGACTGTGGAAGATCATGCAGAAATTCGGCTGTCCAGAGCGATTCACTCAGATGGTGCGTCAGCTGCACGACGGTATGATGGCGCGAGTCACTGACAACGGAGCTGTCTCAGAGGCATTCGCAGTGACCAACGGAGTGAAGCAGGGCTGTGTGCTGGCGCCTACCCTCTTCAGTCTCATGTTCTCTGCCATGCTGGTGGACGCCTACCGCGACGAACGCCCTGGAATCCGCATCGCCTACAGGACGGACGGTCACCTACTGAATCGCCCTGAACACCACCTCAGAAGAGGAGATGCAACGGAGCATGGACCTGTTCTCCGCCGCCTGCGAGAACTTCGGTCTGGTCATCAACACACAGAAGACGGTGGTGATGCACCAACCGCCACCCAACTCGGCCACAGCCCCCAACGTGCCGCCGCAAATCAGCGTGAATGGGACCCAACTGCAAGTGGTTGAGAACTTCCCGTACCTGGGCAGTACTCTCTCCCGAAACACCAAGACTGATGACGAAGTCGCCAACAGGATCTCGAAAGCCAGTCAAGCTTTCGGTCGCCTCCAAAGCACAGTTTGGAATCGTCATGGTCTCCAAATGAGCACCAAGCTGAAGATGCACAAGGCCGTCATCCTGCCGACACTACTGTATGGAGCGGAGACTTGGACGGTGTACGCCAAGCAGGCACGTCGTCTGAACCACTTCCACCTCAGTTGTCTTCGTCGCATCCTGAGGCTGAAGTGTCAGGATCGAATCCCCGACACTGATGTGCTGGAACGGCAGGAATCCTCAGCATCTACGCCATACTGAGGCAAATTCAGCTGCGCTGGAGCGGCCACCTGGTGCGCATGGACGACGAGCGACTACCCAAACGACTCCTCTACGGAGACGTCGCGACGGGTTCTCGCCGTCAATGAGGCCAGATTCGCCGTTATAAGGATACCCTGAAGTCCTCCCTGAAATGCCTGCAAATCAATCCCACCAACTGGGAGGAGCTCGCACTCGATCGACCGGCCTGGAGGAGGACAGTGAAGACAGGCGCTGCGATCTACGAAGCCAACCGCATCGCTGCCGCCAAAGCGAAACGTGAAGCCACAAATCACAACTTCGCCCAGTAAGCAACGCCGCCGCACAACCGCTTCCAATGTGTCCACGATGTCAACGGACATTCCGGGCTCGAATCGGACTTGTTGGACATCTTCGGATTAACTGCATCTCTCGAACGGCACCAACCATCGTCCCCCCGCCTGCCTCTTCCTCCTCCTCCTCTCCGCCGCCAACTAACCCTGACAATTCTTCTGACCCATCACTTCCACCATCCTCCTCCTTCTCATCCTCCTCCTCTTCCTCCTCCTCCTCGCCCACTGCTCCAACGGCGGCCGCTCAGGCGACTGTCACGCGCACAGCAACCGACACTACCACCACCTCCCCCGACTACAGGGATGAGAATCAGGACTACACCTGACCTCACTGCGACCGTACCTTCACCTCACACATCGGTCTGGTCGGTCACTTGCGAATCCATCGCACAGAGACTGGCGAACCAGTGCGTGAAGCACCAACCTACACCCACCGCCCTCGCCTCCACTGCCCACACTGCCCTCGCACCTTCAGGCATCGCATGGCCTTTTCGGCCACATGCGCATCTACGAGAGCGGCCTTGACCGCACTCCCGACACACCCACTATATCCAACACATCCACCGTGCACACCCCCACCCTCGTTCCATCCGTCCGCGACACCACCACCACCGCCGCCTCCTCTGTAGCTGACACTGACACCGCCGACTTCTCATGCCCACACTGTCCACGCACATTCACCTCACGCATCAGCCTGGTCGGTCACTTGCGATCCCATCGCACAGAGACTGGCGAACCAATGCCTGGAGCACCCACCTATACCCACCAAGCTCGTCTCAACTGCCCACACTGTCCTCGCACTTTCAGGCATCGCATGAGCCTATTCGGCCACATGCGCATCCACGACGACCTGCGGTAGACAACCGCCGGCCACACCACACATTCACTCACTCCCTACCTCCTCCACCACCACCATCAACCCACCAGAAATCAACACTCACATACCTCATGCACCCAACTGCCACCTCCCACGCAAGTGGAAAGTCCGCATCTCGACTCGGTCCCCATGCGGCTTCGGTTGCACGGGTGACTTGAGTACGAGACTATCCTGACACGTATAGCGTCGTGGATAGGAAGGTTGCTGATTGACGCCCGCTCTCGGTTCCCGCAGTTCGTCGCGTTGTGTGTGTGTTGTGTGGAGTGGCGGACTGGCGGGCTGGGAACGGGCTGAAACCGCACCTTCCACGGCACTCTCACGCAAGTGAGAGACACGCCGTTCAACCCCCGTTGTGTGAAATCCTGGTTTTGTGTGTATGGGGGTCCAGGTCGTGCGGTTGCGCGCGCAGTCATGGTCAGTCGACCATGACAGCCAACGCGCCCATTCCCCACTCCAGCCTGCTGACCGGCTCGGACAGCGGCTGGGGTGTGGGAGTGGGAAGGGAGAGTGAGGTCGACGACTCAGCGCACTTTCTCCTCACTTTAAACAATCTGACGCGCTTGAAGCTATCACGGTGCGCTAAAAGCCGTGGCTTGGAAGGTTGCCAACTGACGGGGTACCTTGGACCTCCTCCTTCACTGGAGGCGGTCTGAGAGTCAGGCTGCAATGGCTCCTTTTTAATGTGGCCATTATGGCACTCCCATTACAGTGTGGGATCCGAGCCAGGCGTTGGCGGCACGCCCAGGTGCGGCTTCGGCTGTGCCAGCCTCCAAATCTCTCTTGTGTTGGTTGAAATCCTGGTTATTTGTTGTGTGGACCAGGGGGTGTGGTGGAACGCCAAGGTGAGGATCCGTCCGAGCCATCCACCCGCGGTCTCTCTCGTCTCCGGTCTTCTTGACACTGTCTTAACACCGGGCTCGGGCGAGGGAGGAGGAGAGAGTGTAGGTAGATGCTACGCAAGTCCACCGGCACTATAAACCCCTGCGTAAGTCACCGTCCCTGCTCCCATTGCTGCTGCAACTGTGGGGCACACGGTGGACATCATCGAAACCGATGGTCGAACTGTCAATTATGTTAACGAAAAATACTTGACAATATTAAGCTATACTCGTTGAGGGAACCATAAAAGGCAGCGCTAGGAATTTTATGTCAATGCCTTAAACAAAAAGTGGATTAAAATATGATAAGGTAAATAGAAATAATGGCGTCTTGCATATCGAGAATATCTACAAAGGATCGATACCTGTGAGCATGAAACGCATATGCTAAATCCGTATTCGGATATCTAGGGTCAAAATTATGCGACCAAAGATAATGGGGGATTCTCTGTTTTCCGCTCGCCGACGTGCCACACTGCAGGTAAAAGAAATCCCGTAGGTATGTACAGAGACGTAGAGTGCTAGATTGATCTAGTGGATAAAGCCTCAGTAAGATAAGTAGATGCAATGCACCTGAATGTTACCGCGGATGAAGGGCGCCGGTAAGATTGTAAGTTAGGGCAGCCAGGTTGCAGAGTTTTAAGTGTTATACAAACGCCTACGTGATACTTTGCGAAATCATGGGCAGGGAGATGACTACTTAGTTCTGAAAGGAAAGTATCGACATGAGTAATTATATAAGAAGAAGGCATGAAACTTGGAACTGACATTCGTGAGGATATGCAAGTTCTGCCGTGGAGTTGTCAGCATTAACGACGAAGTAAGAACGCCTGCAAGTCCTTCCAAAAGACGCAAGTCGAAGGTTATCCTCCGCCACGTTCGAAGCGGTGAAACTCGACCATTCAAAAATTCTCCCCCGGTTATATTTGATGTATTATGCTAGTTCGACCGTCGCATCCGACGATGTCTACCGTTTGCTCTAGAGCAATATGTAGCAGGCACGATGACATGAGCGTGAATTAATTTATAGTGAGAGTAGACTTACGCAGCACCTACCGCACTCTCTCCTACCCACCCGGGCCTGGTGTCAAAACAGAGCCAAGAAGGCCGAAAGCAAGGAGAGCGCAGGTGGATGGCGCAGCCGAACCCGAACTTTGGCTCTCCACTCCGCATGTCTTCTTCATAGCAAGCATTTTCAGCATAATTCATTATAAATAAGGGATATCGGCAGAGCCTTGGAAAACCCTGTTTACAGATAGACGTATAAACAGCATGCACCTGTTTACATAGTAGTTATGTCAGTCATTGCTATAGAAAAAATGTTTGACCATCAAGCATAACTTTATTTTGTCTTTTTTTTTGAAGGTCTCGACGTTTTCTGCCAAGACAATGGAGTTCGGCAATTTGTTCAAACCTTCCACTTTGTCTCGGTCTACCAGTCCGCCACTCCATGCAAAAACAACCAATTTGACAGACTGCGTGAACTGAATTGGGGCGTCAAACGGCAGCCTCCCACGCCGTGGAGCTTGGCGCGCCGTTATAGCATGCAGAGGAAATACGTAGAGATGGAGCTGAGAAGCACACTTCCCACTTACGTATGGAATGGCAGATGAGTGCTTGTGATGAGTGGTGTTGTTGTGTGACGCGTTGTTGGGGTTGTGCGTGATCTGGCCAACGGTTGTCTACATCAGGTTCGCGTGAATGCGCATGTGACCTAATGAGTGAGTGAAGACAGTTGAGTCATGTGCGATGAGTGGAGATCGGTACTCCAGACACTGTTCGTCGGTTTCTGTGCGATGAATTCACAGGTAACCGGCCAGACTGATGTGTGACGTGAATTTTCAATTGCCATGGGGGTAGGTATGAACCAAATCCACATCGCTGGAGGTGGGAGTGTTGATGGCGGTAGAAGGTGGGTGTCGTCCCATCGCTGGGGGAGTGCGTGAAGTCGTGGTGGTGGTAATGCTGGCCGCTGCGGTCGGTGGAGATGATGGGGCCTGACGGGTGGTGTGGATAGAGGGTGAGAGCTGACGGGGGGTGGAGGTCGGCGCGGGAATCTTGGCAGGGGCGAGAGAGGGAGAAGAGATATAGATGTTGTCGGGTTGATGCCACATGGGGTCTGAAGGTGTCCAACGGGACCAGTTTGTGCGCAGATTGTGCGTTGGCAGCGCGAACATGTTAGAAGCTGCAGATGGCTAGCACTGAGGAGGCGTGACACTTGTTATTTGTGGGCCTCCCCTTTTGCTTTGGCGGTGGCGATCCGATCTGCTTCGTAAATGGCAGCGCCGGTCATCACTTCTCTATTTCAGGCCGGTCTATTCCTGGTGTGGTCATCCCAGGTCTCTAGGTTGATATGTAATCGCTTAGAAGAATTCTTAAATGTGTGCTTCTAGCTGTCGTCTTGGGCATCCCGGTCATCGAGCATCGGTGGCGACATCATCAAGTGAGTTGTTACGGCAGATGTGCACCTTCCATCCTCCCGAGATGGCCAATCCAACGTAGCTGTCGTTCGAAAGGCAATTTGACGAGTATACGTCTGCTTTCGATAAATTCTCTTCATGCCTGTACATTTCTATTGTTCTTGAAGTATTGCAACAGTGGCTGCAATTGCCTCAGTACGGTGTGAATGCTGGGGATTACTGTCTTTTCTAGAACTTCCATGTCGAGGACTCTGTCTTGCCATCTCAGCTTTAGTATTCTGCAGAGGCAACTGAGATGGAAGTGGTTGAGCTTCTTGGCCTGGCTGGAGTAGACGGTATAGGTCTCCGCTTCGTACAGAAGTGTCGTTAAGACGATGACACTGTACATCGTTGCTTTTGTTTTCGGATGGGGGCTGTGGCGTTTCCATATGGAATTCTGAAGCCGGCCGAAAACTTGACCGGCTTTGAGCAACCTATGGGTCACTTCGTCGTCGATTTTGATGCAGCGAAACAATGTACTGCCTAAGTGGTTAAAGTTATGCACGGTTTTCATTTGGGCGCGGCTAACGCGGATGCCAAAGACACTGTATTTAGCGGTCGATGGCTGTTTACGAATAATCGTCACGATTTTGAAAAGATAAGTGAAAGTTATATTTTTGGATTCAATTTCTTAATCCCTTGCACAGCTTTCCAGTGTAGACCTGACGAAATTTTCTATTTTTTGTCATAAGTCTTCTTCGCTTCCTGTCGTGTTTCTGCGATTTGTCATAAAGCAGAAATCTATTGTCGCAGTTTTTCACCCAACATAGCCTCAATCCTATCAAGTCTTACCTGCATAAACAAAAGGTTTTCCTCGTAAAAATATAGGTTAACATTATATTTTAAACGATAAACCGTCTCTCTTGACGGCTTTCATCGTCAGTTTATTGAGAATTATACAGTTATCTATTTTATCCTACATAGCCTCATTATCCAATTCAGATTTATTCATAGTTCTGTTTTACCACCTACGAAATTGTCATTTGCCCGTTTTTTTTTCTAGTTTACATTCTGTTATTGAGTAAAACTTGCTTAGTATAAATTGTGCTCTCTGGTCCACCAATATTTGCAGCTTTCATAAATCGTTTCGTCATACATAGCCTCATCCATATATCCTCGAAGTTTCGGCAGTTATTATTCATATAAATATTTGGACTTAAGTCTTGTATTGCGTTTTCGGCATGAAACCTCAAGCAACCCTTCGTCGAAATCTGAAGGAAACTAAACTTCATCTGAAACCCAGTGTTCATATGAAAAAAATTGATCTAGGGGCGCTTGATGATTTTACCAACTTTATGTCTCGTTGCGGATCAATTTTTTCTGTCCTTGGTGCCCTTCTTGACGAAATTTGCCAACGCTTACGTCTCAGCAGTGTGAGAAGCTCATGCCTCTCATTAACCTAGTTGCGACTGAGACTGAAGACAGGCACAAACGAAGTTTCAACTTTATATTAAAAAACGTTCCCAAGAGAAGACAGCCAATTGATGTCGCCTTTCAATTCCTTTTTTCATGCGGCTTCAACTTTAGGGTCGCGGAAGCCAAAAGGCTTTCATCTAGGAGCAAGACTCCACCCATTCTTGTCAAACTCTTTTCATTGATAGAAGAGGATTTTATTTTCTCCCATTTGGAGCGATCAACTCAATATCTCAGGGCAAATAAACTTTTTATGAGTCGAGACCAGACTCCACTGCAACGAAAAATTTCTCCCCCATTACCAAACGTAAAGCCAACCCCGAATTCTACCCTAATGTCTTTTTCCTCTAAAGCAGTTTCTCCATCTGGTGTCGACCAAATCCCCCCACTGTCTACAGCGGCCCCAGTTCCATCTAGCTCTTCGACCGATCACATTATCACAGAGACGGTTAAAACTAGCCTCTTTAAATCTCCCCCACGGAGCAAGGATTGTTCAAATGCGGCTCCCAAATTTATAAGGGAGCTTGATTTTAGCAGTAAAGATAAGCTAGTCCTTGAAGCACAACCGACTCCCAGCACTCAGAATAGTGATTTGGTTAATAAACTTAAATCGAATCCACCCCGTTCCCACGCCTGGCCACTCAGGTCTGACCTTGCAGTTAGGTCTAATAAGCTAGATGAGAGTTCAGGGAGGTCTTTACCTGTTCCTATCCTGAATTCTCAACTTAACGCCACAGTTGTGAAGCCCTCTTACACATCAGACTGCAAAATGCAAGTATATTGCATTGCTGATAAATTTTCCAATCCCGTTGCTAGCCTGACACCCCAAATAATAAAGCCCTTTCCTGATGTTAACTGTTTCCCGAAACCATTACGTCCGCCACCTAACATAAACTACCCCTCGTATTATGCTAACAATTCCCAAAATCCTATTTTCTTGTCTCCTATTTTTCCAACCCAAAAAAATAGTTTTCCTCTTCCTGGGTCCTCCTCAAATGTTTTTCCACCTAATGCTGCATCTCTAACCAGTAATTAACCCATAAATTTCAGACCGCAGCAACTTTGTCCTCCACCAATTGCTCCGTTCCAACAGCTTAATTTTCCACCTCCGGCTCTTCCTTTGTTATAAGTAGCAATGAGCGGAACCTACATATTAGGAATACGCTCAGTTTTGTGTCTCTCAACGCAAGATCTGTCGTGCAAAAGATGGCACACCTAAGAAGTGTAGCTGTTGAGTTTGACACAGACGTATTGTGCATTACAAAATCTTGGGCCCACTCTCTAATTTCAGACTCGGCACTTAACATAGATAGCCTCAGTTTATACCGCCAGGACCGTGCCGACAGACGCGGCGGTGGATGCCTTCTTTACATAAGAGCATCACTTGCACAATCGCCTTATAACTTGAACATTTCCTCCTTCTCTGGAAATTTATGTTTTGCTTCGGTAATCCTTCCGCAAAATAGGAAAGCCTTAGTCGGATGTGTATATAATCCTCCTTGTTCCTCTGGAAATGAAAGCCAACTTTGTGAACTCTTTGAAAAAATTGCAGAAACTTCTTTTGATGTCAAGATAATCGTAGGCGATTTTAATTTGCCAGAAATTGACTGGCACACACATACTTCTCCTCCTAAATTCCAGAAGCTGCTTGACACAATTTACTTTTCAAACCTGACTCAATTAGTTCACTCTTCGACCAGAAGCGATAGTGTTTTAGACTTAATTTTTACTAATGGCACCTTCCCTTTATCTATGGATTTTTATCATGACCCCTTTGCAAGTGATCATGCATTAATTCATTGTCGCCTTCCAGTTGCCATTTCCGCAAAGCCAACAGTTCAACGTAGTATTTTTGACTTTGCTAATGTTAATAAGGGTTTAGTAAATAACTTTACATGCACCCTTGATTGGCACAATATTTTTTCAAATAATGATCTAAATTATTTCAACAATTTATTACAATGCGTAACAGAAGGTCTTCTTGACCTTATTCCTCGGAAGAGGTTCAAACCGAGTACTAATTCCACCGCTATCCCGCACTTTCTTAAAAAAAGACTTAAAAAGTTACGGAAGCAGTTTAAAGATCCTTCTGTGAGCTCTTTATCAGTTCATCTAAGAATCGTTGAAATATTTGAACTAGCTTCGAAAATGAGGCTCGAGCGAGATAGGCATAAAGAGTCTTTAGCTATTAATGACGTGAATTCTTCTAAATCAGTTGCTCAGATCTTCCGTCAGAGATCATCTGCTAAGTCCCACCAAGTCATTCCGCTCTTGCTTAGTGCAAGTGATGCCTTCATTACAGAGGAGTCAGGCAAAGCAGAAATTTTAAATTCGTTCTTTGCCAAGCATTTCACCATTGAAACTGATCCGATCCCTTTAATTCCTTCGTTGTCTGATGCTCCTCTTAGCTTCATTAATTTTTCTCCTGAATGTATTCAAAAACTGATAAGTCATCTTCCTTACTCTCACTCAGTAGGTACGGACAATATCCCAAACTCCTTGATAAAACAGCTAGGAGATTTTCCTCCTCTGTTTAGCAAAATCTTTTCAGTATTTCTCGTAAATGGCTTCTTCCCTGACTATTGGAAAACTTCTATTATTATTCCAGTATTTAAGTCTGGCTGTCGTTCTGACGTACAGAACTATCCAGGTGTCCATAAAACACCCTCTCTCGCCAAAATCTTCGAAAAAATTATCGCCATAAAAATTACCGAATTTTGCATAGCCAATCAAGTTATTAGCCCTTCCCAGCATGGTTTCTTACCAAATAGCTCTTGTGAAACATGTCATCTGTCGTTTCTCGATCTACTTACCTCTCTTCGTAATGATCACCTATCTGTTGTCGTAATTTATTTTGATCTTAGTAAAGCCTTTGATAAAGTGCCACATAAAAGACTCTTGGTTAAATTGGAAGCTGAGGGAATTCGCAGTCCACTAATAGACTTTCTCAGTTCATACCTGTCTAATCGTAAACAAAAGGTTTTGGTTGGATCCTCACTTTCCAGTGAAAGTCCTATTGTGAGCGGTGTCCTACAAGGTACCGTTTTAGGTCCTCTTTTGTTCTTGCTTTACATAAATGATATTTCAGCAGCAGTTAAACATTCTCAATCATTTATTTATGCCGATGATCTCAAATGTGTATATTCTTTCAAAAAATCTACGAGCCTTCATTGCCTGGAGCAAATCCATGCTGACTTGCTTGCTCTCTCAGTTTGGAGCTCAAAATGGCTAATGGAATTCTCTCCGTCTAAATGTCGTTATATGTGTTTTGGACCTGATAGGCTACCCCAACCTGTGGTCTTTCA